TTTTTTTTTGTTATTGTGAAATATATTGGCATGAAAATAAAGCCAGCGAACAAAGCCAGTGCTGCTATTGTGAACATCAGACATGGCAAAAGTGACTAAAAAATAATGAAACTTGAAAGTTAGAAATGTTAAGTTTTTTTAATCTGTCTTGTTCCTGCACCACTAGAAATCTGAGGTGGTTTTCATATTTTGCATGTAAAATTGTGCACAGATTTGCACAAATGTACAAAGTCCAGATACAAATCCTGTGGTGACTGATGGCTCTTCTGTAAACATACAGTTCCTAATGGATGCATGTAGTATCCTCCTCTGTGTTTGTAGAACATGAAAAAGTAGTTGTAGGATAAATGATTAATTCACTTCAGACATAACACTTTTCATGCTTCATCTACGGTGAGGTTGATGTATTTTGCTTTACAATCTGGCTGCATCCTGAGTGCCCTCACAAATCTCTGTAATGGGCATTTCAACAAGTCCTCCTTTCCTGGGAGTACCAGCAATACCTCAGTGCATCTAATCAACCCAGTGGTGTGTCTGGGCTGGGAAAAACTGCATCCCCAACTTTGTTGGCTTAAGGAAACAGTCTTAATTAGCTACACATGAATGCAGGAATGGAATATTCTTAACAGTGGAAGCAAATATCCCTCATCCCTGGAAGTGTCCAAGGCCAGGTTGGATGGAGCTTTGAGTAACCTGGTCTAGTGGAAGGTGATTGGAACAAGATGATCTTTACAATCCCTTCCAATCCAAACCATTCCATGATTCCATGAAATATGTCTTGTTTAATAAATTTTGCATTGGCTTCATGGTCAAAAATAACAAGTGTACTGGCACTACCTACCAATTTGAAACTTGAATGACTATTTAAAGCATCTTTACGATGAGACAGAGTTGATTGTCCCAGGTTGTAACTGGTTTGTTAGATAATGGCAAAACAGTAAAAATAATACATTGGTATTAAAATGACTGGTCTAGTGAAAGAGAGCTTGAGGGATGTAATGGTTATTTGAATTGCTGTAGCATTATATTAATGAGGTAAGTCTGTGGTTATCTGTATTCTAGTTGAATTCTTTCTGTTATGGCACAGGGTTTAGTTGCAGGGGATATAGAAGGACCATCAAGAAGAATCTTCAGAATATCTGATTAGATGGAAGCATGTCCTTCACCTTCAGGTATTTCAGCAGTCTGCAGTTTCACTTGTTGAATTTCACGTACAACTGTGTGCACCATGTGTTTTCTGTTGTGTTGAGAATAAATTTTGCCCATGGAAAAATATTTCCTGCTTACTTTATCTTTATGGTAGAAAGAAATTCTTGCTGAATCTGTAATGATGGAAGTCTGTCTTTAATCTACAAAAATTATTTCTAGTTTAAAGTATTGTCTCCCATTTTGTGATTGCATTTGTTATTTATCTACCTGATGCAGACCATATGCATGTTAATTAGATATATATGGATTCCCACATATTGATCTTTTTGGGTCCTAAGTGATGTAAAATTTTTACTTTAACCTCTCAAGGAGGATATTTGTCCACTTAATGAAATCCCCATGAAATTCAGCTCTCTCTTCTGGAGGAGATCAGAGATGGAATAGCAATGGGTATAGAAAAAGCTGAGTTTAGGGATCAGGACTGAAACAGGGGCCTTGGTTTATGCCTTATTGTCAGAGTTGCATGATGTTTTAGGCTGAGTTACTTAGAGGTGCTGGAGGGTAGAATCTCCTAAAGATGACTGAGTGCTATGGGCAGTGCTGCTTGTTTTTATAGCTGGTTTAAGCTATTAAAAGCTTTTCACTTTAAAAATGAGATTCCCAGTCAAACTGATGACAGATCACTGCAGTCAGAGGAGATGTACTTGCACATCCTCGCTTGAGAACGTGGCCCAGGCTGCTCCATGGAAACAAAAGAGAGGAGAAGCAGATGCACTGCTTGTTTTTGCTTTAAAATCTATTCTGCATGCTTGTAATGGAAGCATGCTCCTTCGGGTTTCTCATTTACTCACCTCTAGGTAGGTTTTCCCGGTGGAATTGCACACCCTTCCACCTCCTCTGCCCTGGATGCCCTGGGAGAGACAAAGCCCAGTGTCTGTCTGTGAACCCTTCGCCCGATGGTGCCTTGACCTTGTTTACCAGCTTTGGCTGTTTAAGGTCTCAGCCTCTGCAGTGGCACTGTCAGGAATCCCTCTCATGCAGGAGGCCTCCCGTTCTAAATTTACCCTCCTTATGGTTTATGGTCCCTCCTCTGTGGCTGCAGAGAGAGGCCCCTTTTATGACTCGGCCCTCGCTCCTTCCCCTGCTCAGGGTAACCCTTTGTGAGCAGTGCCCGTAGTGCTGGCAGGGGCCTGGCACACTGCCTGCCACCATGTGCTCTTTTGTTGCTGCTGGGGAAGAGCAGATTCAAATAAAATCCTGTCCTTTCCTTGGAACTTTGTGATTTTGCTATCCCAAGATGCTGGTGGGGTCCTCAGACTGAAGCACTCATGGGAGAACAGCACTGCTTTTGTTTTAAAATGAAGTTAAATTATTTTGCATTTTCTTTAGGAACCTTTATAACATCCTGTTAGACAGCAGTTATCATTGATTTAGTCAAATGCTTAATAAGAATAATTATGTATAGACTTTGAGGGGTTTTTTGTGTTTCTGTATGCAAAAACAATGTGTAAAAGGGACATGCACACTAGTGCAAATATTATTTTGTCACTTTGTACTGGGAAACACATTAGTTAATTTCGAAAAAATTCAGACAAGTGATTTTTCTCCTGCCTGTGGCATCTGAACAGTATGAGTGGAATGTGCATCTGTGTGCAGGTTTGGGGGGATGTTCACCAAAGCCAGCCTTAGCTCCACTGACTTCTTGAGAACACTCCAGGGGACCTAAAGTGAGACTTCTGCTCCATATTGTTCCTAAAGGAACCTCACTTTCCCTCCTCCCCTTACACACAGAGGCTGAGACACTAATTTTCTTCAGGAAAATTTTTTTGATTTCCCCTTTATTGGAGTATGTGCCCCTGACTCACTTGGGCCTTTTCAGTGTGTTGCACAGGAAAGACAGCTGGAAATCTGTAAACATATTTTAGAGAAAAAGATTACTTCTGTGCAAAGCTGTATTGATGGTAAGTTCATCAGAAGTTTTAAGGCCTCAATATTTAATTTGTAACCTAATTTTTTCCTTCAGATGGTCACTGTTGCCTTAGAGTACAAGCATGTTCTTACCAGGAGGTTCATGTGACCCTGAAGGCACCAGTTGCTTTGTTCAGGGAGCAGAAAATGACTGTGCTGTGAAGCTGCATTGGCTGAGCCGTGGCAGGAGGGAGCCTTGTGAGCTGCACCTCATGAACAGTATTTATTAGCATGGCAAATATTTTTCTTTGTGCTAAACCTAAGTCTTGCATGCTGCTCTTTTGCAAAGAATTAATTTACTAGTAGATTTACATTTGTGAATTTTTAATAATAATCTTTATTTTCTCTCCTCACATGACTTCTTTGCTTGGTGGTGTTGCATAGTACACACTTTCTGCAGAAGAAAACCCTCCTAAGGACTGCCTGGGATTTTATAATGTGACCCAACCTTGCCAGTGTTGCAATGCTCTTTTCTCTCCCATTTTGTCACATACAAACATACCATGAAATGCATTTACAGAGTAGCTTCTGTTCAGCATTCTGAATACATAGCTTTGCTGTCAAGCCTCAGGATAGAAGCTGATTGCCTGCAAAGGGCAGGAAAATAGTGTTTAAAGCATTTTAAGCAGTGCTGTGTAGTGGTGAATTATCAGCTGCAGTTTCTTACCCTTTGCTGAGAAATCAGATGCAGATCACTGCTGGAGGGAGAATGGTGGGACCATGGATGAATAGTCTGTACTGGCACTACAAATCCCTTGCTCCTACTTTTATGTGGAAAGGTATCATTTTCATCATTTTCAGTATGGTACTTTTATGATTCATAATTTCTGAATCTTGATATAGATATTCTTGCAATGGTTCTTACAGCACTCTTTGTTGTCTCAGCCATTTATTTTGCACTTACTGTGCAGTTCTTTCACATTTCACTTGAGCCACAGGAGCTGCTGTGTGAGGCCAAACCGTGATTAAAAATGGAGCATTCAGAACTAAGATTCCAACTACAGCAGTGTGGGAGAAGATTTTGTCCTCAGTTTTGGGCTTACAAGAGCTGCAGGTGTAGCTGGTTGATTGAAAGCCCCTTAAATTGAAATTATTTCCTTCCTGTGATGGAAGACTGGCAGGACACCGTTTGGACAGCAACACATTTCTTATGTTCTTTCTCTTGGGCTGGTGATGAGCCACCAGACAGGTTTGTTAGATCAGGAGGAGGTTATTGGTTCTTCAGGAACACCAAGTGGGACTTTGCATTTAAGTAACGGGCATCAGATGTGTGAGATTTTTGTTTGCATGCAATTAGCAAATACCCTTTGGCGTTGAATCGTGGGTTAAAAGTTATGTTGCATAAAAGAGGATGTTACTATTTTGGGAAGTGTGTGTATTTTAATATTTTTTACATTCTTTTGCTGATGTGAAAGTGCTCAGTTGAAGTTACTCAAAAAAGAGAAATAAAAACCTAATGATCTACAACTGACCCATAAAGGGGCAGGTTTCCAAGAAAGAGTGGAATCCTTGGAATTCTTTCCCTGTTATATTTTTGGACTTGGGCTGTGTTTTGAAGGTTTTTTTTCCCCTCTTCCAGCTTTAAAGCAATTTACTTACACCTAGAGAAATTTGAGACTCTGCTTGTTGAATTCAAAGGAGACAAAAGCGATTTGATGCTGTCATGGATCTCCTTTGTAAAATTGCATGTCAAGAGTTAAATAACATACTGTTAATTTTTTACCAGCATTACTGTTTTAGACTAGGATTATCCAAAAGGCTCTAATGAGATCATTAAGGCCCCAGCTACACCAAGGAGCTCCTGGGGAAACTGGGGTTTTGAAACTCATGCTTCTTCGTTCATTTAAAAAGACAAAACATCTTGTGTTTTATTTTAACTACAGGTTGCCTTTGCTTGGTCGATACAGTAGCAGAAGATCCAGAGGTTCTGCAAGGAGATGCTCAAACATACTATGAAAAACTCTTGAAGAAATCATTGCCCACTCCTGATGTTTTTTCCATCCCTGGAGGACAAGAGGTAGTAGGCTGATGTTTTTCATACTGCAAGTTCAGTACTTGGAAGTTAGTTTGTTGGTTGTGTTCGTTGTCTGTGAACAGGGGTAAACTGGTGTGGCTGGATTGCAGATCTCTTAAAATCATCAAATCCTGCATTATTTCATAGTTTGCATGCTGTAAATGAGAGATGAGCTTCAACTGCATGCCTGGAAGAGGGTTTGGAGTACTTAGGTGAACTTTGCATCTTGACTTGCCTCCTTACAGGACTGGATCAAAAGTAAGTTGGTCGAGATTTATGCTGTGGTGCAGCTCTGTATTCTGCCTCTGCTGGGCAGTTTACACAGGTATTATGATACAGCCTGTTGTTTGTTTCCATTCTTTCCTATACTTATACTGATAATTTTGAGTAGGGGTTCTCCCAGAGGAATTCTGATCAGCATAAATCCTATAGGTGCCAATGCTTTAGGGTCCATTCCTAAGCCCCCGGGGGGAATGCAGGTGACTGAACAGGCCTATTAAAAATTTTTACTTCAGTCAACCTATGAAACCTTTCATTCTAGATCATAAAAGGTGTGCTGGGCTACCTGTTATTGTACTGTAAAAGCAGAAATTGGATTAGGTGAAATAAATGTTTGCAATAGTGTGGGTTTTCTGCAGTTTAGGAATATGATATGTAGTAGTTTCCAGAAAAATGCTGTTCCAGGTGGGTTCAGCTTCGGCTTTGAGCTGGGAATGTAACTGGGTTTAAATACTCTTTTAATGCCCTCTAGTGGACCTTGTAGAGTTAAATACAAACAGACCTGAAAATGCAAAGATCCCCCAGTTTATGGCTTCTGTGTCTTTACCTCGGCCTTTCTTGCCTGGTTGTACTTTTGGAAGCTCCTTTGCTGTTCCATTAGACGGGAGGGGAAGTCAAAATCCTGACAGTGCTCTGTGTGTGTTCCTGCAGTAGCTACACATGGTGAGAGCAGTTAAAGGTGGACTTCTGGCTTTTGATTCACGACTGTCTTTGCTTTTGTGGCTTGTCACCAACCCTTAAATATATCACATGACTGATTTGAGTCTCATAGCAACACATTTCTCTTTGCATTCATTTAATTCAGGTCTAATCTAATCTGCAGTCAGACAGCTAGTCAAGGGCACAAGTGATGCTAATGTTCTTGCTGTATTGTCTTTTTCCTTATACTCTATAATAAATAGCTCAAAGAATGTTGATATTTTGTAATTAAAAATGAATTAAATGTAATAAGGTGAAGCTTCCGTTCCCAGTGAACATCCCAGCTGACAATCTCTGTTATATACCTGCAACCTGGAGGATGAGGGTTTTGGTGTTTGAAATACTGCATTATCAAGCTTTTTTTTTTTTCTCTTCTGCATCTGAATTAAAGCAGGTTTCAAGTGGCAGGACTGGCAAGTGTGAATAATTATTTAGCAGGAGTTAAGTGGCTGTCAGTCCCCCTTGCTCGGGTCACAGAACTCCTTTTAGGTATGGCTTGGTCAGGCATTCAGAACACAAATAGCCAGGATTGTTGCAAGTCAGGATGGGAACATGTTGGCAGCAGCCACACACAGAGCTATGCTTGGCTTCTGCTGGTGTTGTTAACACCTGTGAAAGTGCACATTACCTTATCAAACAAAATAACAGCATTGGAAGTAGTCCTGGCCTTTTAATTATGGTAATGCTCCCAGGTGCCATAGTGACATTGATGCTGTTATGTTGGAAGCGTGCAAAGAGTGACTGAATCCCCAGAACACAGTGAGATTTAGGCAAGCTCATGAATACAGTTTTCAAGCAGTTTTCAGTTTTGTTTTTTTTCCTGGAGTCCAGTGTTTGCAGAGATGATTCCAAGATTCTGGCACCCATAAACCAGCGAACAGTGGTTTCAATTTAAAGTTGTTATCCTGAATAATCCATATTCATACTCTTTCCGTGCACCAAGAAATATTAAATGTATCACATGAATGATTTGAGTTTCATAGCAAACTGACAAATGGGTGCAATTAGAGAGAGAGGCACACCCACACATACACAATGGACCAGATTTTGGAAAGTACAGTACATACTGTGCTAAGTCATGCACACTCTTTGCCTGTACCTAAACTTACATGACAGCATTTGCAATATTCATATGGAAATCGTCATTTCTATGCATATAGAGCTGTTTGAGCACAGTAATTTTGTGTTTATGTGTCACATCGTGTAGAAGTTTAGTCTAAGACCAAAAGCTTGAGAGCTGCATTTTGATTTTAGCTTTGCCTTCAACTTAACTACCTTGTGCCAATTATCCACCCTCCCTGTGCCTCGCAGATAAACTGCCCAGGCACTGCCCTAATGCTTTGATACTCCCTGTACCCCGAGGCTTAATTCATTGTTTGCAAAACACCACAAGTGCTCAGCTGGAGGATGCTGTAAGAAGTGCAAGTTGTATTTGTTTTCATTTGATGTGTCTGGACTTTCATAACACCATTTGTCTGCTGTGTAGCTGTTCAAAGCCAGGTTATGGACTAACCACAGCAAGTCAGCATTAAGGGCTTTGCTAAACTTCAGTAGCTTGATTTTTTTTAAATTAACATTACTTATAGATAATATTAGAGTATTATATATGTTTCAGTGCCTTGAAGTTGAGGATTGAGAGGGTGTTGAGCTGAGTTTATACCTTGCATGTCAATAAAACATATCATAAGTGCATCTGATACATGAAATACTTCTGGTGAGCTTTGCAGTACAAACAGCTACAGGGCTTGTTTGTTTTTTAGGTTAAACTTGAAGATTCCTGTGTGTGTTTTGTCCCCCTCTACCGAAATAATCCTACTTGCAAACTGTTGCTGTTAACTGATCCAAAGGATAAAGAGACAGGTTAGAATTGGTCAAAATATTTTGAAATTTGAGTAGTTGTACTTTCTTTACTTTTAAGATGATCTGTTTGTTTATATATTTAAATATTCTGGGTTTTGTTTTGAATGTGAAGTGGATTCAGATTACCTTTCAAGGGTTTGTGACGGTGAGCTGCTGATTAGAAGGAAAAATTGACAATCAGAGCTTTTAAATTCTGTGCATAAATTCTCTGCTGGTAGCTGAAAAATCACCTTGGATAAATCTGTTATTCTTTCTGACTTTATTTGATTTGGGTAATATTTTTCTAATTCAGGATGATGTACATTATAGTTTGGATAGAATTCTGAAATCCTTAAGCAATAAAATACAGCTATGAAATTGTATTGCTTCTTACTCATTCTTATTTGTATATTTTTTTTTATTTATGATATTGTCTTCACTCCTAGGTTTAATTGCCTTTTATTTGCAGTACTGGTGTGTGAGGAGTATCTACTGGTGCATAGATTAGATGAGGAGTGTTGGAGCTGTTGTGAAGCAGTGGGCTGTGGAATATTTGGAACATCTACAATGGAGACAAACCTTTGCACTGACCCATTGTGGCACTTAGGAAATGCTGAACACATGAAACTTCTTAAACTTTCAGCTTCCAAATGTGGCAGCAAACTAATGACATCTGTCTTTAAAAGTATACCTTTTTTTTTTGAAAGGATAAGCCATAAATTATACCTGAAAGGCCTTACTAGCCAGTATTCTTAATAATAGAACAAAGGCAAGGCACAAAGTTTGGCGCTCTGTGTTCAGTTCTGAAGTGTGTCAGGGAACGATCTTGCACTCCTAGAACAGGTTCTGTTACTCTAAGTAAGTGCTCATTGTTCAGTCCAAACCCCATAACCAGGAAATTTCTTCAGAAGAACAAAAAGCAGATTAAAATCATCTGTGGTTGGAGGTGAACTCTGCAGTTTCCCAGCTCCTACATACTATTCCAGTTGGACATTTGCTAATGGGTTGTGATTCACCCAGTTGAAGGTAGGAGACATTCCCAAGTTAAAAGTGCAGTCAAAAGACTTTCTGGTCCCTCTAAAACTGTTGATGTTGACTTCCTTTCCTGCCATTAATTTATATATTCCATTAATATTTTCCTGAAGAGACATACAGGCACTGGTGTGATAAAGGAGAGAAGTGTCTACACTGGAGGCCAGACGTGCTCTGAGTGCAGTTGTTCACACCTCCTGACTCATATTCAAAGGAATGTAGTTGAAAACAGCAGTGAGTTAGTTCAGGCTGCACGAGAGGAATTGGGACCTGTAACTACACGGCAAAAATAAAGAATTATTAAATAAATGCAGGTGAAAGTGCATTTAGCACAGCTCTTCAGTTAAATGATCTCATAGTATTAGGAACAACAAGTATTAATGAGATACATGCACACAAGGAAAATGATTTCTCACAGGAACAAGTCAGACAAGTCCATGTTGGAGCCTAAATTACATGATAGCTGTCCTCATTAAAAGCTTAAACCTGGCAGAATAAACACCTTATTATATTATAAACAACAGCCTGACTGACTGCTGTGACCCCCTTGCAAAACTTCAGCTTAAGTTACCAGCCCATAGTCACAGAAACAGAGAGCTCACTAAGTCTAATTATTTAAATAAAGTCTACATCACCTGGCTTTTAATATTGCCTTCTAAAAGTATGATTTAAAGGATTTTACTGGAAGTTCTTTGTTTCTGGATTTTATATGCTATAAACATGTGGCCAGCCTTCCTACACACATCAAATTTGATGTGATTTTTGTTTTTGTTAGATGATTTTTAATATATTTCCGTGAGTTCTCTAAAGCCTGCTGAGCTGTGTGTGTATGTTGATCTCTTCTCTTTCTCTACCTGTCCACTGCCTCTGCATTTTAGTTTTCTTTCATACCAGGGGTGCTTCTAGAAGCAGATTTCCTGGTTGTCCCCACGTTTTGATGGCATTTAATTCTTGAACATGGGTTAATGAGGGGTGTATTCCACCACTGAGGTTTATATCTGATGATCTTGATCACATGGGTTGTCCAGAATTTGATGTGTAGCTTGTGGTCTGAAATGATCTGCATATTTCAAAGAGAAAATGGGTATGGCAGCTTTTCCATAGGACTTGGTCTTGGTTGGAAGCATTTTTAATTTATTTTTGATGGGCTGAGTGCTGTGTTCTGTTAGTGTATCTGTATAGAAATTTTTATGAGAATGTAAATTGTATTGTAAGAGCCTACAGAGCATAACATGGGTGATTAACATCTTTATAACACTAAATAAACATACCTTATTGTGGCATTTTCTGTATGCTGTATATAATAATTCACAATAACTGTTAGATGCCTTGGAACATTTATCACAAGACATTTGCAACAAATCACTGAGTAAAACTTGAATTATAGAAGACATAGCTGGTTGCAGGGAAGATAATCTGAGGTACTTGAGTGGCTGCCATTCCTGCAGCATCTGCCTGCCTCCCAAGCTTTAGCATATTTATTTAGATAGAACTCTTAGGAAAGAGAGGAAAATGCTCTTATTGCATTGTAAAGACAGGACCCAGCTGCAGAACCCTGTTTGATGTAGGATCTGTGAGCTTGCTCCAGTATCAGAGCTCACCTAGGCCTGGTTGCATGGAACTGCTTGTTGGGGTGATTTACCATCCTCCTTCCAACGTGGAAATCTGGCAAAACCAACCTCTGTAAGTCTGCCATCAGTTTGAAATACTGCCAAAATTAAGATAAAGATGAGTTTATCTAAGATAAGTGGTACATTCTATATTTATTAAACTCAAATTACATCTCTCCTATATATCGTTGCCTTTATTTAGTTTGGGACTGAGGGATGTGTTTCAGCAGTTCAGATAAGGCAGGGGAAAAGGAAGGACCAGGCTGGATGTTGCTTTATTTTTATTTCTTTACTCTCTGTGTAGAGTCCTGATGTGCACATTTCATTCAAATAGTTGCACACCAGTGTGGGAACATTTGGAAGTAAAAATATAATCCAGGCCTGAGTTGGGAAGGGATCCATGTTTGCCTAGCAAAAGGAGACATTTCATAATCACAACTGCATTATTCTCAGTGCCTAATTCAGCTCAGTACTGGGTTCCAAATACCCCTGTGCTGTGGAATCGTGTGCATCTTGCAACACTCAGTATGTTTGTCTGACTGCAAGTGATGAAAGTACTGAGGTTTAGCAAGCTGGGGCTTACAGGGCAAACCACCCACCTGAGCATGTATAAACTCCATTAACTGTGACCTGAAATGCTTTGGACTCGATCCACTTCACCTGGTCTTGCAACTGCAAGATCAAACACATCAAGTCTTACAGTTGCAAGGTCATCGTGATCATGTACGTGGTGATTCACAGGGTTCAGGTGATGTGTGTTGGCAACAACTCAATCTCTCATGATCAGGTGAACGTAACCCAATGTCTTGGAAAGAACAGCAGGACTGGGAAAGGAGAGAGAAGGAACATGTGGTCTGACAAATCATGTTCGCATTTGAAATAGTGCTCCTCAAAGTTGATTATAAAATGAAAATGAGAGTATGGGGAAGCATGGATGGATTTAACTGCAGACCAGATGTTGACTTGAAAAATGATAACAAAAAGCAAAGTACATATGTTTGTGTGAAATCTGGAGAAATGTTTTTCCTTCAAGGAAGGCATCCATATAGATAAGGTTGCTCAAGTAATGTGATGTGACAGTTGCTATGTCAACTAGTGTTCCCTTCCATACATTTAAATTATTGAATAGCACAGTAAATGTTCTATAAAAGTAACTCCTTCCAACATGGTTATGCATCTTCCTGTTTTCCTCAAAGCCTTTTTAAACTTCTCTGACCTTTACTGTGTGTCTTGTATGTCTGAGCTGTGTGCCAAACCTCTGTGCAGCTCTCATTAAAGTCAGCATTTGGCCTGTAATGTCCCCTTTGTGTGACTCAGCTCCCTTTGTAGCTGCATGTTTCATGGATGTGTAATGGAGCAGTGGCTGCTGCATTTGAAAGCAGAGGGAAGGGTTTGAGGGAACAGATTGAATCCATCACACAAAGGGTATGAAACTCCCATGCAAGTAAGTGCATAATATTTAATGAATTGAATCTGGTGCTATAAACAGGCATCTGCCCTTGCGTGCAGTGCTCCTTCCTTGTTAACCCAGTGCACAAAATGTGATGGTTTCTGGCACATGCTTTAATAATTTATTTGGAATATAAGTTAGCTAAGCCTTAAAGCCAGTGGGAGCAATAGAGGCCGAAGCAAAAAGGGAAACCAACCTGTGTGCATCAGTGACATTTGTATAACCTGGGGCTAAAACAGGTAAATGATGAACCCTGTCCTCAAAGTCACTTCCCTTCCTTGTGTGTAAATTTGTCTCTAACTCATAGCTGGGTTTGAACTTTCTTGTGTTTGTCCCTTGTTGGGTGGGTTAGAGAGCCAGTTGATGGAGATCTCTTGGGACTCAAGAGGTGTGAGCCCTGTGCTGTTCTTTGCCACATACTTCCTGTATTATATATTATCTTTTTATCTAAAAATGGGCATGCTAGCTGCCCTATTTGATCATAGTAAAGATACTGGTGCTCTTGAGCAATCCTGAAATTGTGGCCATGTGCTTTCGTGAGGTGAATGTCACCACTGTGCAGACAATAAAAGTTCTTCTTGCTGAAATATTTTCTTTGACGTGTTTGTGGTCATAAATGATGAGACTTCTGTGTTTATTCTAAAACCTCATCTAAACCCCTAAAATCTTTTCTCTATCCTTTGAAATGACCCCGTGTCAAAACTTTTCTTTCTTAACAAGGCTTGGGAGTAATTTCAGTGTCGCTGTTGCTGCTTTAGTATTTTTCTTGTAAATCTATTGGCAGGCAACAAATTCTGTAGATGAACATGTAGGAGTAGGGTTTAAGTACTTGTTCCTGCATATGTGAAAAATTGAGGAAGGATGAGAAGAAGTGGGGTGCAAGTTTTGCATGGCACCTACGTGAGGACTTGACTTACGTAGGTTGATCATACACTTTTGCTTCAGGGCAAAGTGTATCTTATTTATGTGTGTATTTGTCTGTCCTTTGTTGATAGAAACCTCTCTGTATGCATTTTGAAACTCTGTGAATATCTGTCTGTGATTTAGGAGTCTGTACTCCAGAGGTACAGAGAGAGAGAAATTCAGTCACACAGAGAGCTGTTTGATAAAACAGATTTGAGAACTTTTGTGTTTGAGTTGCATGAGTGCAAATGTGGGCACTCAAATATATGCAAATATATGTGTGTGGGCAGGGGAAGGTCTGAAAGAACCTTCAAAACAGTAACCTTTAGCCAGGTAGCTCCTCTGTCCCAAATGCCACTCAAACCTACTCTGCTACTGAACTTATTATTATGCAGGAAGTGCTGTGTTCGTGTGGCACGCACGTTGTCACACCGAAGTCACATCAATTCCTGAGAAAAATTACCTTCCCTTCACGCCTCGTGCGGTACTGAAAATTGGGAGCAAGGGATGCGGAGGAGAAACTGAAATACAATTGTTCTGCTGTCTCACAGCAGATCAAACTGGAGTCAGCTGGAAGGAGGAGTAGATCTGAGGCTGCTGGTGGAAAGGTTCAGAACCTACTTTGTATTTGCAGGTAACGTGTTCCCCTGTTCTTTTCTTGTTGTAGTCTTGGCGGTTTATTTGGGCCGGCGTTGGTGGGCTGTTGAAGACGTGGTGAAGACGGCTGATCCTGCTAGAGATGGGCTCCTTTTGGTGAGGATGCTGTTTTAAACAGTTCCCTTTGCCCTGGAACTTCTCAGCCAGAACAATCTTATGTAATTGTCTCTGGCCTCCTACAGCTCCTGCTGTAGGACCTGTGGGATCTGGGCTCTGGGGCTCACCAGGTACTTCATGTCTCCATTACAGTGACATGCACCTTTAACCCTCTCCAAACAATTTTCTGCATGCAGTTTATGAGTCACCTATGGGATTTATTTTCTTCTGGATTTTTAGTTTACCCTCACTGCCTACTAAAGGAATAATCAGATAAACTGAATTACTGCATTAGCAATAATTTCACATGTTATTGTTGCTTGGCTGACTGTCTGGTGGGAGGTGTTACAACCCTTTGGAGCAATGTCTTATCTAGCTAGTTAGGATTTTTTTTTACCTTGGATAATGTCGATAATGTTGATACATTTTATGAAATGGTTGTTATTTAATAGTTTCTGTGTCAATAATTCTTTTTCCAAATAAATTATTATAATAGGATAGAGCTACTTTTTCATAATTTGAAGGATTGGGGTAGCCTGTTTTCAGCTGAAAAGTTGGATGCCTACTGCATGTGAGCTTTGTGTTGCCATGAGGTTATTAAGTCAGTTCTGTTTCATACCCAACCCTCTGTATCTTTGGTCCTGAATGATTCCATTTCTTGATCATCTTTCCCTAATATCTGTCACACATAGAGTTTAATTACTCACAGAATTAAGTTGGCTTTTTATGGGTAACTGAACTGGAGGGATTTTGAGATCCAAATCCTTGCAAGATGGAACTTGGAGCACAAACACAGGCCTTGAAGCTTTAAGCATCTACTGTATCAACAGAGAATGAAAATAGTATCTGAAAATAGAAACCTTGCCCCTTCTAGCTCATTGCTAAGAGGTAAATTGTCATTATTTGGGAGAACTCTCATTTTCTCTTTCAGCATTCATGTGAAGCTTGTTGGCACCAGTTTTTACCTTGATGGCCAATGTGATCTTGTTCCTTTATATTCTTCATCTCCCTGTCCTGTTGGTTGTCTTGGAAGAAACACAGCACAGACTAATTGTTCGTGTTACAGCTGGATTATATGATATTTGGGACAGACTGTTCATCTTCTGTTTTGTTTAGTGTCTATCTCAATAAGGTCCTGGCCCACTAAAGCTCTTTGATGCTGTGGCAAGACAGGTAACGGGGAGAGGTGACCAGGCCAACACAGTGAATCCTATCTTTATTCCACTTTTGGGTAGGATTAGATTGTCTTGATCCCAGTTCCAAATCTGTGTCTGGTTTGCTGTGACTACAGTCAGGTTACTCCTGCTGCTTTAGAATTCCTCTCTGTGACAACAGGAGATATGTCAAGCCTTATAAATAGTTACTAAATTATTCTATGCCCTCTGGATAGAGGGTGAAACACTAGGAAAAACTGTTTTTGTTATTCCAGCTGAACCAATTCATGAGGTATTTTCCCCAAATTAAGTGTACATGTTTCCTGACCTCCTCCTTCCCAGCCTCTTTTGATTTTGAAACCTTTTTTATGAGATGCAAAATACTCTTCTCTGCCTCATTTTTCTTTGGTCTGTTTTTGTTTGTTCTCTAAGGTCCAGACATTTGCAGAAAGGATTGTCCTCTTTGTTCTGAACTACATTATTTTTGGAATGCTGGAAGGGAGTTCAGCTAATGATGCATTCTTTCTACCTCACTCTGCCACCGAGTGTGCCAAGATACTCTGGAGGAACGGTGAGGCTGTTGCCTTTTACTCGGTCAAAATGAAAGGTAAGGTCATTTCAGAGACACATTTCCATTGGTTCCTAATAGCTCCAAATGTAATCCTTTTGTTTATCTTTCAGTATAAATAATCCTGGCTCTCATTTACATTTTTATATGAAATCTCTCTCAGAATTAATCTGGGGAACAAACCCTCCCAGAATTTGGAAGCCATCCATGTGACTTTCATTTAAACACGATGGTTCCAAAGCCTCTCCTCAGTTATGCTGAGCAATCTGAGGCAGTGGCTTATCCCAATAAAATGGGCTTTAATGCAGCCGAGTAGAAGGTCGTACATCTAGGAACAAAGAATGTAGGGCCTATCCACAGAATGGAGGGCTGCATCCTGGAAAGAATGATATCTGGAAAAGGAGGGCAGTTCCCTGTGGAAAAACAGTGTATTGAGAGTGGGTGGTGGAAAGAAGTGGAAGGCTCCTTGGATGTGTAAGGAGCATTGGCTGGATTGTGTAGAGGAAGGTGTGAGCACTAGATCAGTCCTGAAATGCTTTGTCCAGTTGTACTCCCAGTTTAAAGGATGGTGATTAATTAATTTCGTGATTTGTTGATGAACTAGCATAGAAAAGAAACAAAATTTTAGTTCTTTAATGATACTTGATAAGCTTGAGTGAAGGTCTTTTATTAAACAGAGGGTTTGTATTGTTGCAGGTACGTTGCTGTTAACGAGGCTGGAGTGGAAGAGGCTTCATTAAAATAACTCCAGATATGCAGCTGAGTGTGTGCCCCCATGTAGGAGCTGGTTACCAGTGTGTGTTTGATTCATCTTGATACCAGCAGCTTAAATCCAGAGAAGGTGGAATCTTTGGAAGTAAAATGTGTTGTCCAAGTCAGTGGTCAGTAGCCATCCATCCAAAATGGGAGAATAAGAAACAGCTTCAGAGCTGCACAGAGATGGTTTGCTTTGGATTCCAGAGGAATCCAGAGAAATAGTTACCAGTGTGAAGGTACCTTCTCTTCTAGATCCCAAAAGCCAGCAGCAGTAAGATGTTCTACTCTTTAGCTGCCTTGGGATGGAGAAATCCTTATTGACAGAGAGGTATGGCTTGTACAGCACCATGGCTGTACAGTGCTGCTGTACCATCAGTGATGAATCAGGACTCAGCCCATGATAAAGGAGCCTTGGCTGAATCTGTGGTCATACTGATGAACTGGTTTGTAATGGCAAACACTTCATTGCCATAGTACATTTTCCTTTAAGTCAATAAATATTCCTGAGCAAAGATTTTGGAAAGAAACACTTGTATGGGCTGTAATGATTCATACTTCAGTAAAATAAATGTGCACAGTAGTCTGTTATGGGTGGAGTATTAGCCAAGTTGAAACTGTTTCTGAGTAAGTTGAGAGTCACAGTTTGGTTTTAAATCAGGTCCACATAAAATACAAATCCTTCAAGTCCAGCTTTGTCAGCATCTGCCTTTTCTTGCCAGTGTTTTTTTTCTCTGGGCAGCTATATTTGTTAGTTTTTGGCTTGTGTCACAAATTACTGCAGTCTTTTGCCAGAGCCTTTTCGGGAAGCTTGAAACTGATTGTTTTTGCTGCTTTTTGCAATTTGATGTACGCATTTAGAAAATAATTCCTCTTTCTGAAGTTCTGTGATTTCAATTTCATACCAGCCATGCTCTGGCTGATCCCATTCTCTCTACTTTTTAGAAGAGCCCTGGATTTATTAGGACCAAAAGTGACTAAGATAAATATCTTCACTTAGAAGTTGTATTTCACATGATTGGTTTAGATGTGTTTTTTTATTTTTTTATTTTTTTATTTTTTTAAATCACAATGTAATTTCTTTTTGTTTTTACTGTCCTGGTCAGAACATTTAGTAGGGGTGGGTTTAACTACAGGACTTTGTATTGTGCTGGGCCTCTCTTACAGCTTCTGATCCTAGGAAGAAATTATTTACCTCTGTGCCCACCATGTGATTCTGATTCCCTTTATTTTTATGCTTTGCAATTACCTGACCATTCTTTGTGGTTTTATGTTCTTAGTAATTGAGACTCTCGTATTGATGTCATTTTCAACTGTATTTCTCATCTGTGAATTTTCCATTATCTACAGCATGACAAAAACATGCTTCAGTGGAGCCAAATAAGGCAGAACTGGTCTGTGGAGCCTGGCTGTTTGAAACATAAGTCTTCTGGGTGAATCACAGAAATGGTGACCAAGGAGGAGAGTCTGTTCTATCTTTACAACAGATTTAATGTGCCATTATGCAAACTAAATTTTCAATGGACTTTGGTGATTCCAATTAACTGTCTTGGCACTATTGTAAAGTCATTTCCATTTGCCAGTTCCTAGGTGGCCTGTACAAAGTGAACTTGATAATTTTGCTCCAGTGCCCTGCTCTCATCCATCTTATGAACATCCTTAACTGGATCTCTTTTTTAATAGTCCAGCTAAGGAGGGACAGATGGTCTTGAGCACCCGTCTTACTCGGAGATGCAGTAAGTGCAAGTCAAGGTTTTGAGACAGTTTGGCACCTACTGGCACTGGCCATCCTGCACCTGTTGTGTAGAATAACAGAAGACTCATTCTTCAAGGCTATCACTTTTCCTGAGCATTAGACACCTTTATTAAAGCAAAATTTATTCATGACTACACAGATCATCAACTTACCCTCTCTGGTATGTGCCTATTCCTGTCCAATGACAGGCATGCAGCATTTACCACTGGGTATACTAAAGATTGATGAGATGTACTAAGCCACTAATGAGGCTGATAAGACACTTTGTCACGTGCCAAGATAAATGTCTCCAGTTTTATCTATGTCAGCAGCCTCCATATCAGACAGCTGAGGAGTTAGACCTCACTAAATGTAGCTACTTAAAGGTACAACAGGAACTGACAGTTCCCTGCTCTTGTACCTTTCTCTGCAGACAGCAACATGAAAATTGAAATATTTTGCAGAAAGCCTTCCTATAGATACTCGTGTTTTCAGATCTGTTTTATATTGTTTACAGTATTTACTTTATGCTCTAAATCTGTGTGAAAACCTCAAAAAGAATGTGTTTTGTGTAGTGATGTAGGATTAATCACCACGGTTACTGACACTGCTTTTTATGCAGTGAGACCATGTAGTTCCCTGAATTTTTTTCTTTTTTTATTTGCTGAGGACTAGTAATTACTGAAAGTGGACTTTTATACCACCTTCACATAAATGCCAGGAGAATGTAGAATATTCATGATACAAATAAATCACTGAGGAAGTTGGAGAGTGCAATGAACCAGGAATGTCTTAGTCCCTTTAAGAGCAAAACAGAACAAAATTCCTTTTTTATATACATCCTTTTTCCCCTACTGTTAAATATATTACTGTTTCTTTAACACACAGGAGCTGCCCAGCTGTGGATCAAGCAAAGGAGTCAGGTTGTCAAAGCTTGTCCCTTCCCTCCTGACAAACCTTAGCAGTAAAAGTGTGGAGAAGGATGGTGTTCCCTGTGATGTGAATCAAACCAGCCTTAACCAAATTGAGTCCTCTGAGAGGGCTGTAAAACGTGCACTTGAATCAGGAGTAAATGCATTCTTGGCTTCTCATTCATTCTTTAGAGATGCTCCACAAGGCACAGTTTGGGAAAACCTGACTGCAAAAACTTTTAAGCTGACATAGAGTCAGCAGCAAAGCAATCCTGCCTCAATCTCTGCTTTTTCCTGCCCCAGAGCCTTAGAGATGGTCTTTGGAAGTGGCTCCCCAGGCAAAAATCCATTTCACGCCTTTCTTCATGCGAGCCTTTGCAGATTTCTTTTGATACTTTGGTGGCTCAGGTGTTTTCTCTAGAAGTAGATCCTTAAAAAGATAACAGGATTTTATTTTTCACTGATTGCATACATTTCTTTTAGAAAAAAAAATAAATCAGAATTGAAGTTAACCTGACAGAGAATTAGCTGGAATCTTGTTGGATAATTGCTTTTGTCTCCCTCTGTTTGCTAGCAATAATATTTTTAATGTGCATTTCTGAGGCAGATTGGAGGTTCTGGCTGTAATAAAAATGAAATGACTGCATACCAGTCAAGACATGAATTCATTTAATTTTATTGAAGCCAGAACCTTTGTTCCCCTTCTCACATACAAACTCACACAATGGGCTGACCTTGGGTTCTACTCTGCAGGAATATTCCCCACCCTTTGCACAAGCACCCGGCCTGCTCGGGGCCTGTCCAAACATGTGTGTGCCAAGCCAACTTGTTCAGCAGGGAAACAGTCAGTGTGCACAACCTTGTTTTGTTTGGGTCTGTTGGATGTGGGGACCAGATTGCTGGTTTTTTTCTGGTTTGTGGCTCTTTGGGAATGCTAATGGCCGTCTGCTTCCCTGACTGTGTAATATCTGTTTGCCATTTCGCTGGCTCCAGAGTTGGTCATTTGGCACTTGTGACCTGACCAAAGAGATCAAAGCTTTCAGAGGGCAGACTGCACAAATGCTTCCATCTCCATCAGCAGTGCCCTTATTTCCCCTGTCTCCTGCCTCACCTCAAAACTGTGTTTGTTTGTGTGTTCCAACAAAGAAACAAACCTCTCAACCAGATGTGTGAGAGCCCAGTGGTCACCTCCGGGCCACCATCAGCTTACAGTAACCTCTGTCCATCGGATGGGAACTGGGGACAAAGTGGCCTTTGTTCCAAAGGTTGGTTTGCTTGTTTATTTTATTTCAAATGCCTGTGGGCTATGACTCTCCTAATATGTTTCCCAGGGACAAGGTGAGGAATGGCTTCATGGTTCCTTTTATTTACAGTGCCTTTAGACATGACAAGTTTTTGTCATCTTCTCAACACAAAATTAGGAGCACAGACATAAATCACGCGGCTCCTGGGATTGCTGCACAGCAGTCTCGGCAGGATTTATAGGAGACAGACTATATGAGATAATAATAAACTTATAAGGACACTTGCAACGTGTAGGAATCCTTAAAGACTTCATGAGGAGAAGTTTGTGCCTTTCTTAGAACGTATGGTGCAACTCTGCTGGGATCCAACATCTCTGTTGGGTTGGCAGCTAACAATGGGACCGGGGATATACTCAATTTTTTGGCTCCTGAAGAAAAAAAGTAACTACCCATCATGTGTTACAAATACTGGAAGGTTATAAACACCACCACAACCCAGCCTTTTCCAACAATGTGCTGGAACATGTGTTTGAAGTTAAGCATGCACTTCGATTAAGCAGGAGTGAACAAAGCCTGGATGTGAATGGGTGGTTATGTAGCTACATAGTCTTGTCGTATGGCTCAGTATGTGTGATGTGGACTGTTGCTAAATGAACAGCTACAACCTTGACAAATCAGTGTCTGGAATTAAATATAATCACGTATCCTAGAAAATAGAGTAATCAAATTCAGGCCTGGTGAGTATCAGCAAAAGGTGCTGGACACCAACTCAAGGAGCAGAAGTAGATTTCAGTTTAAGATAGTTAGGCAATGAGATAAAGAAAAAATGGATCTATTAAGTAAAAGTCTAATAGTGGGATTTAGGAACAGCCATTTAATAGAAGATAGTGAAACTGTGAAATAGGCCTTAGTGAAGTGATGAAAGCTTCATGTCTCAAGACACTGAAAACTAGACCGAGTGGTCCACTAGTAAGTAGTAGGAAAGAAAACCAAGAAGGTCTAGATGAGATTTAAGCAACAAGGTATGAAAATGTAATCTTTTTCTGTTGTAAAGGCTGGACCGTCCATTTGTATTTGAACTGACGTGTACCCAGATAGAAGCATCATAAAATTTTCATAAATATTTTCTAAAAATGAAAAGAAATGAGTGAGATGTTTGTATGCTGACCTTATCCTATATGTAGGTAGTTGGTGAACTGATGTTGGTCATTCAGTTCAGGGTTGAGTGTTTATGCTACAAAGTAGTTGAAGGTTCTGTTTTTATGGTATTCTGCACTGAATGGAAGTTGTTCAGTGAATTGCTAATGCATCTCCTGCAATAGGACCCTAGGTTGTTTAGGGTGAACATCGAAATTTTGGACACTGAATGTCTTTTCCTAATCAACTTTCTCTTGACTCCAGTTTGAGTTCACCATTCATGATTGCAAAATAAATCCCTTGGTTCTAATTATTTTTTATTTTTTTTTTGACAATTTTCACTGGGAACTGAGTTTTAGTACTTTGGAGGGTTATACTTGAGTGTGTGTTTTGTCCACATGTAGAGCATTATGTCATGTCCCCGTGATTTCAGTTGACTGACTTAATGTGTTTATTAGCAAGGACTGTCCTTGAGTGAAACCCCTGATTTTAACACTGGTGGTGGTAGTTCAACGTACATTTGTGATAAACTACCACTCAGTAGAAATGGAGTGACTTATAGAGGAGCTCTTACAGTGCTTCCTTAAAATACCCCCCCTCAGTTGTTTAGGGCTTTACACCCAAATGCCTTAATTAATGTGCTCCTTTTCCTACAGAAATGGGACTTTTGTGTGCTTCAGTATAAGGTTGAACCTAAGCTGCTGCTGTGAGTTTTATTGCTTGGATTCTACTTGGTGCTTTCTAGACATGGTTCCTCTGCTTTGGGAAGTCATTTGCTTCCCTGTTATGTTTCCCAGTTTCAGGTGGAGCAACCCCAACACTTTTTGTGTGGTTCTCTTACCAGCAAAGGTTTGAAGGTGACTCCTGGTCTGTAACTGACAGGTAACTGAGAGAGGAAATATTTTATTTTACACGTGTCTATAGAATTTGCTGAACAAAGAGTTCAGAGGCTGAATATGCAGTAATGGGGTTGTATAACTGTATAATTTTCTGAACTGTGAGAGTCAGAAAGGAGGTGTAAATGATGGGGCCAGTTAAGTTTCATACTTCAGAGCATTTGGGAAGGCACAACAGCAAAGTACACAGAGACCATGGGAGCCTTTCTTGTAGGAATGATTAGCTTAAACAGGATTGGGAATTTTCTCTGGAAGGCTTCTTCTTTGTCCAACTGCATTAGGAAGGATGGACCTTCTGAGCATTTAGCTCATGCTGTGTTGTGTGTTCAGTGTATTTCATAAAAAGAATTTGTGGGATGATTTACCAAAATAACCAAAAGCTAAAGGAATATACTGACACTACATTCAGAATATTTATATCTCTTTGGCTGTAGCTCAGTTATATCTTTACAGTGAGCTTTCCTGTGTACCTGGATGGTCTGATTATGAAGAACCAGAGTCTGGAAAGTACTCTGGTGAGACCTGTCAGCGAATGTTAGGCAGGTCCTCTCCGTTTGAGGGCACAAATCTTCCTCTTGGAAAGTGTTTTACTGTCTGTGCAAATGCAGTTCTGTTGGGATCATCCTCCTGTGGAGAGGTACCAGGGCAGTATCTGTGGCTAGAATCACACAGCAGTTACCACTTTTGTTAGCAAATTCATGTTTTTTTATCTTTCTGCTTTCAGGGAGCCTGTGTGATGGTACAACCAGTCAGTGTTACTTGCTGCCAGTCTTGGATACTATATTTGTCCGGAGAAAGTGCAGAAGAGGTGGCCTAGGGATGAAAATGCTGCATGATTTCTGTCAGTCTTTCCTGGCTGAGGATGCCTTGGGGATCAGCTGCCCTATTTCTGCTGCCATGTATCAAGGTAAATGGTTTGATGTGGACATGTTAGGTAAGGGTCATGTATAATGTATAATTTTCAATATGGTCTGGGTAAGATTGTCTTCACTGTGTGAGAGTGCAGTGCCCTTGTCTGAACTGAGCTGTTGTTAGTGTGCAACTGGTTACTTTTCCAGAGACATCTGGAATTTCCTGTAGAAAGGTAGGCCAATATTTATGTAAGACAATGAGAAGCATAAAATTCATACTGCCTGTTTGACATTTTGTGTTCTTATCTCACTCACTTAGAACTATGTCATTGCCCTAGACAGGGACTTACACATTTTATTTGACACCAGAGGGAAAAGAATCATAAGATGTCAAGCCCACACTGTGCACATAATGCTCTAGTAGATCCTGCATTTGTAAGAATTTACATTTAATAAGCCAAATACCCAGGCTCTGCTCAGTCATCCAGTCACATCAGTACTTGTGTTGTATTGACTGTCTTTGAACATTTGTCACTTTTAAAAGATCACAAAGTAGTTACATATCTTCTCTGTGTTTAGGTAAAAGTTCTGCTTTTGCAAGCAAAATTCATGGAAAGTATCTGTGCTCACATTATTTATAAAACTCTTTTATTTAGAAAAATATTTCTTTACTGAAGTCACTTTCTGTGGTCTTTACCTAAATTTTTGGGGAGATGCTTTGTTTGACTTACAACTTTACAACCATTTCCTAACAAGTATCAACAACATTTTGGCTCTATGTGTTTTTTTCTCTTGGTTATTATGTACCATTGAAAGTATACAAATGTACCCCAGCAGGTACTTCTACTTCTAAATTCAGGAAGGGATAGTATTGACAACATTCCTTCTCTTCTCCAGTAATATCCATTTTTCCTATGGCAGATGTCAGAGCTTTAAGGCACTATGGATGAGAAAGTTGCATTTTTTATTTGTTAACACGAGCTTTCGTCTCAAGTTTAGAACTAATAGTGAATAAATCTGACTTGCATCATGTTTTAATTAGGTTTTCTTTTATAAAAATACCAATAGTGTAAGTTAATTTTTGAGCATATTGAAGTCACTGTCTGTTTTTAGTTTCATTGGAACCACATTCTCATACTTGGATAAGTGAATGCAACCTTTTACTCCAAATCTCTGCACTGAGATCTCTGAAATTGGACAGTTTTCACCAGCTTGGTATTTAAGGTACTGTAGAAGCCTAAAAGGAAGTAAAAAGCCATTTAGCAGATACCTGTATTTTGGTATATGTGGTACTTTCAGTAGCTTTTATTGGAATGATTAATTTAGTTGGGATATCCTTGGATAAAATTAACGCCCCCAAGCTGCTCATTACTGTAAGGCAAATGTTTACATACATTAGGGTCTTGTTTTGCCATCCCATTGTTAAACTCAACTGAATACTGAAGATAAACTACCCAGTCTGTAGTGTGGTGAACTAGAGTGGACAGAGTGTGACAATAATTTTGTTGTTTACAGATTGCTGTCTTAGTGCAGTTGATGGAACTGAGGAGATGGTGGTTGAGGAAAGTTTAAAAATCCCCTTTGAACTTTTTGAACTGTTTGTCCTACAACAGGACATGTGCAGATGCTGCAGACATCTAAAGGAAGCCACATATTTCAGTTTGATAACTGAAGCAAACCTAACTTTGATTGTTTACCCAAATTATATTGATGACCAGTGCTCAGTACATGATTTCAAGTCCTGTCTTTCTGCACTCAGAAGGAGATAATCTAGACTGAAGCAGAGGGACAGGATTCACTCCTGCCTGTTCAGGCCATTCCACATAGACTTTTACTAAACCCCCAACTAAAACATAGAGGAGGAAATGAGAAAAGATTTCCAAAGGAACTAATGAAAATCGGTCTGATAGAGTTTCTGGGGTAGAATACTCTTCCTCTTCCCCTGTACTTTGCACTCATTCATACTTTTACCCCTTGGTTTCTCCTATTCAGTTTGCCAGAAATTCCTGCAGGTTTATCCCGAGGAGCAGAAGCGACTGTGGGAGGTGGAAGCACCGGGAGATTGGAGCCAGCGAGCGAATATCTGGCTAAAAATTCAGATGGAGTTACTCCCTTCAGGAAGTGAGTTAAAACAAGCAGTTGTGAACTTGGTCATGGTAGTTACAGTTCTGTAAAGATAAGACATGTAAACAAGGGTTGGGTGGTGATCATGGAAAGGTGGTGTCTCTGTTGGAGAAACTACTGAGTGTGCAGTCCAGCTCCCTCATCCTTTCACATTAAACAGGATAATTCTTAGAAATTATGAGGTAATGAAATGGAACCACAGAGCATCTGAGAGATACTGAACAAAGCACAGTCTTGGCATAAAGTGGCTGTAACTCCCATTGCAGTGCACTCAGAGCAGGGTAGAAGTTAGCCCCAAAAATTCCTGTTGCACAACATGGTGTCTGGGTTATAGAGAGGGGTTTGTTTCTCTGAAATTGTTGCAAAAAAGAAATTTGTATGGCCAATGGGCAGTATATTTAATTACCCTCAACTGCTGCCAATACCATTCTTGGATGAGAACACAAACATTTTCATTATGGCTTTTGGAAGATTCCGAGTACTCTCCTACAGGGTAAATCCTTCGTGCTGGGAGAATTTTCTGTCTACTTCACAAAAGATAACAACAGAGTAGGGAAACTTTTTGACAGTTCCTATGTGGATATCATTGGTGTAATCTGTTCAGCTGGCTGGAGGATCAAGACAGGCCCCTCTGCTGTGTGCACACAAGCTGTGGTAAGCACTAGATTCCAAAAGAAGGGCACACACTGTCTCTTTCTGGAAGTGCAGCAAGGAGGGCTCCAGAGCAAATTGCTCCCATGCCTTCCCACATCTATCCTGCTTCATGTTGGCTCGGGGACCTTCTGCTGAGACACTGCGTTTCATCTTGTCTGCAGCACCCACAGGAGAGTTAAGTCAGACTTTAGCCCTAGGCTGGGTTCCTCTGAAGCCATTAGATCTGTGTTCCTCATGCTTTAAATCACCAAAACCTGGGGTTGCTCTTTCCTTTAATCCATCTTGCTAAGTGAAGTTTATTAATGGCAATTGAAGAGAACTGTGATCAGATCAAAACCCAGCAGATCCTGGAGGCGAGTATACTTTTCTTTTTTCTTTCTTCTTTTTGCCATCTTCTACAAAAACAAACAAACAGACAAAGAGAAACGACCCAAAACATGGGTGAATATCATTCCACTGGAGTGGCTGTGAGTAAAAAAGACCTGTGAGGCTGGGGAACTGCCTTGGGCAGTTCTGCACGTAAATGATATGGTGTCTGTGTGTGCTTATATTTATTTATAAGGATTGTGAATTGCAATATGATCTTTATAGTGGAAGGGAGCAGAAGCAAGTGAGTTTGGCATTAAAATATATAATAAAAATCTGCTTTTTAATCTGTGTCCTCCACTCTGGTGCACAGCTCACTGGGCATCACTCTTTACACTAATTGTGCTGAACAGGCTTTATTTCATCCATCTTCAGTGGAAAATCAACCCACTATAAAACTAGGATTTGAAAGCATGTGTTACATTTGTTATATCTGTTTTACATATGCAGTCTGCTTCTTGTGCTTGTATTATCCCAGTACTGTGCATATTTTGCACCCAGGGAAATACCAAGGGAGGGTAGAGAGCAGATAACACCTGCTGAAACTAGGGGAGAGTTTCCCTGCTTTTGCTTTGTCCTAAAGGCAGCCTTATTCTGTCTAATAGCCAGGGAGGAGATAGTAAGAGAGTTTTTCAAGGCTTTGTGCTATCTGTTGGTGGTAGATAAAGCAGAAACCTCTTCTGAGTGCAGGAATCCTTTATTCCTGCTTCATTACTACATCAATCCTTTATTCCTAATCATCTGACCCAGTGTATGCTTCCCATGCCCATGAAGAGAAGCTTGTGTTTCCAGAGTTGTGGTGGAGGGACACAGAGGGGAAAATGATGTGAATGGAACCCCTGGAGTTACATGTTTACGTGTTCCACAAGTGCACAATCATCCAGATGACGTGCAGGTGTGCAGAGGACACCAGGACCTGTTGCAGTAGGACAAAGGATAATGATTTTAAACTAAAAGAGGATAGATTTAGCCTAAATATATGGAAGAAAATTTTTACAGAGAGGGTGTTGAGGCACAGACACAGGTTGCCCAGAGAAGCTGTGCCTGCCCCATCCCTGGGAGTGTTCAAGGCCAGGTTGGATGGGGCTTGGAGCAACCTGGTCTTGTTGAAGGTGTCCCTGCTCATTGCTGGGCTGGATTGGATGAACTTTAAAGGTCCCTTGCAATCCAAACTATTCTATGATTCCATGATTCTATCTTTAGGGGCTCGCTTGGGAACAAGGGCTTCATTCGTACTTGTTCTGTTATGCAGAAAGCAAAACACAATGTAATTCAATATTGTCAGCTCCAATCTGGATCTATGGCAACAACTGTGAAAATAGACAAGTCTTATTCTGCTCTGATTTCTTAGATTCCTGTTGACATTTGCAATGCTGTGTTTTGGAACAAAATTACTGAGAAGAAAAATTGAATATTTTGCTCATATTATATTTTTTTTTCCGCACCAGTACTCAGGATTGAATACCATTAACGTTCCTGTAAGAACTCTACAGTCATAGATATTCCAAAACAGGTTTCTGTAACCCTGAGGTCAGAATTTTAAATTTTGCAAGGTTCTGTGGCTGCATCTAGTGGCAGTTCATACCAACTGCAGCATTCTGTTTACTGCAGCTGATACTTCTGTTTGGATGTGCCCAGATACATAGGTCCATGTACACACACATACTTCTGTCTGCAAACATGTATCAATAAAAATAAAACCTTGTAGCATGTTGTCACACATAGCTGCAATTATTCATTCTGAATTAATTCTTATTGTTTGAAAAATGTAGAGATTTAATTACAGCAAATAGTCTCAGTAACAGGAACACGGTGACATTTCTCTTCTGGGGCTGATTGGAGCAACAGAAATCATTTCATAGGGTTTGGTTGTGGTTGCTAAATCTACCAGGCAGTGAACTGAGCTGCTCTGAAGTACTTTAGTAATATACATAAAGCATTTAAGTGTGAAACTTGTGCAAAAGCAAGCAGACTGAGAAGAATTAAAATCAGTTTCAAGTGATTGCTTGTAATCCTTTATCTGAATTGGTCAAAGTACCTGCATTTGCTGAAAGGGAGGGAGGAATGGGTATGGGTCTTCCATGTGTAAGAGATAGATGGATTATCTGTTTAGTAGAACTTTCAAGACCCAAAGATATTTTGTTTCTAGTACAGTTGTTCACCTTAGTCTTTTGTGGTAGTGACATGTAGCACCCTGTTTTGATTAATTAACAGAAACAAGGCAGGAGGGGTTGAAGGTGGCATTCAGGTGGCTTTTTCTGGTGTGTTTTTTAAATGGAAATAGCCATGGAAGTCTGCTAACATTTTTTCCTTTAAAATCTCTTTTTGGGGCAAAATATTCACCCCATTTCTCCAGAGGCAGCAGTGGGCTCTCATGTGGAGAATACTCCAGCCAGTAAACCCAGGCAATCAGATGTGGACCAGATGAATAAGGTACAGTGACTAATTTGCTATTTTATGATTTTGTTTTTCATTGGTGGCCTTTTCCCTTTTTAGTTAAATAGTGAGGTTTAAATATGAAAGACTGTCACAGCTACCTATGGATTTCTTTTACTACTACTACCTACATAAGTCTGTGTAGGAAATCACAGCTACATTATATATATATATATATATATAAAAATAAATGCATATAATTGATACCTGTAGCTAACTTATATAGCTGTAATAGTTTGAGAGGCTAAAGACTACAATAGAGTTTTCACTAAATGTTTTAGTTTCATCCTTGCTGAAATAAGGGATCTGTAACCAAACTGGAATTCAGAGAATTACAAGGTCTGTTTATGGACTGGCTTTCTGAACTTCCTTGTGGTTCTTCCTGTGCAGAGACTTGAGCGTGGCACCTTTAGAATGAGTAGGCCAAACTCTTTATGGTCCTAATTATTTTATCCCACCACTGAGCTGTAGATCTGACTCTGCTTAGCTTTTGCAGGACCAAGGCCTAAAATAAGGTGTGAGGTTTGAATGAAGCCTCAGCCCAGGAAGGGGTACATGTATCTGAGAAAACAAATCACAGTAACAAAGCCTTTTCAAGTAATAAAGAGAAAGGAGAGATGAGTGGAAGCAAAACAAAGAGCTGTAGGGCTTGTTTCCTCAGCACATTTTGGTTGCCACACAATTAAATCAGTTTGTTTTCCTCAGGCATGTGTCTCCTGAGGGAGCTGTGGCAGCTCTGGCCCCTGTGGTGCACGTTCTTGTGTGATGGGCTGTGGTCATGGCTCAAGAGCCCACCCAGCCAGATCAAGGCTCCCTGTGCTCCCAGTTTTCTTTCTGCTGACACTTCTGGGAAGGCAGGCAGAGCAGCAGGAGTGAAGCTGTTCCATACAAACAGTGCAGCTGAGTTCCTTGCCTTGCATGTTCATGGCAGTCTTGGTCAACAGAGGGATTTTATATTGGGATCAAGTCACTGTTTATCTTGTTTGTGTATTATTTGGTGTTCCTTCTGTGTCGGCTCTAATTTCAGGGTGTTGAATGCTTTCCTGGTGCCGGGAGAGGGGCAGGAGATGCCACAGAGAAAAAAGATGACACAACAGCAGCAGGGACTCTAAACCCACAAGGTCCTGAAGAAGAGGACTTTGAAAAAGGTGCAGGCAATACTCGGCAACACAAAGGACTCAGGAAAAGAGCAAACCCTGGGGACTTGGTTGGAGACAAGGCCACCAAGCAATTTAGAACTACACCATAATTGCTGTTTCAGAAATCAGCAAATTCAGTATAGTCTTAAAAATTGTAATTGACTATTCTTAATTTGTGACACTGCAGAAATTTCTTCAGGTAAGATGTAATTTTTTTGCAACACATGCTCTCTGTTTTATGTTTTGTTTTAAATAAAGCTTTTGTTTACTCAATGTCCTTTCCTTTTCCTTCTCACCAAGTAATTAAGTAGTAGCTGAGCCTAGTTATTTCCCTGCTCTGAAAAGATTTTATTGGATTTCATGAGGTGTCCAAAAGGGAATAATTGGAGGCCTTGTAGGTACTGATGTAAGAAGACATTTCTATGGAAACCACATCCTGCATTATGGAAGAGAGATACCACAACACACGTTGGTATCAGAATGACAGTTGTAACCTTCCTTTCAGAGTGAACAATTGATCTTGAATTGCTTTCATTTGAGCTTTTCTAGCAGAAAAATCTGCCTTAAACCCTGTGGTGGACAGGATGGCACACAAAGGCCATTCATGCAGGAAAAGTTTGGTGCAGGGAAGGAGAGTGAACAGAGCTACAGGCGTTAAACTGCCTTTCAGTTCAGGCACTGTTACAATGCTGTGTGTAAGTTCAGGGTGTAGGACTTTGTGTAGATTCCACATTGCATGTTTTATTCCATGTAGGCTCTTTGCTAATGTTTTGCATTTAATGAACTTGGAAATATAACATATTTCACTGGATTGCTCATGTTGTGGCTTGGTAAAGAAATTTTGTTCTTTTACCACAAGCTGGTTATGTTAGACTATTTTATTTTTTTTTTTTTAGTGGGGACTTTCTAAAGCTTGAATGTTGTGTTAATGATTACAGGTGAAAATTGTAAGGATCAGATCTTTAGTCCAGTGGCAGAGAAGGCTTTGCAGAGAGATACTTCAGTGCTGAACAGCAGTAGGGGCCTGATGAACCTGAAGAGATCCAGCAACCTGTAATTCTTAAGTCAATGCTTTGGAACAAGGAAAGGTAGCTATTTCTTTCCAGATACTAATCCAGCATTTCCAGGGAGACAGTTCTGTAGGCAGGCATTGTAGGTACACTGTGGGGATGTGTATTTTCCCCCCTGTACAGCAGAATTGCTCACTCATAGCCCTGTCACCCTGTTTTGGTTTAAGGTCGTGATTTAACATAGCATTTATCCCTGTATCCAAGTAACTCCTTCCCCCTGGAGCTGCTCTGTAAACCATATGCCTGAGACACATAGAAATCAGACCTTCCTAGGTATCTCATAAAAAAAAAAAAGAAAAAAAAAAGCTATAATTGGAACAAGTTTTTGCCAAGAGAATTAAAACACTGGATCGTGTGCCAGCCTTAATCACGTTGCTATGGTTCTCTTGTCTCAAAGAAAGTGCATTTAGGACTAACTTTATAGTCAGTTAGTCTTCAGATTGTTGAAAAGTCACAAAGAGTGTGCTATGAAGACTGCCACAAACTCCATGTCCTCCTGTGCAGCAGCCTATATTCTTACTCAATGTATGGTTAAATACAAACCTTTTTTTTAAGAAAAAAAAAAAAAAGATATTTTTGAAGACTTGCAATACCAGTTGTGCCTAAGTATGATAGAAAGTCATTATATCTCTACTCCTGAAAGCTGATTCTGGGGTTGCAGAAACCTGGTCTCATGTCTAGTTTGCACATTATATTGTAATGTCAGGGTAAGGTAAACTGGGGTTGTTCCAGCAAGTGAGGAACCTTAAGAAATTCAGCCTGAATTAAGTCTTTCTACAAAATTTTATCTAAGAAGGCCCCAGGAAATGCTGTATGAATTTTTATTAGAATAAAAGAGATGGATAAGGTACTGTGTGTGGAATGGGCAGATAACTAATGAGATTCAATTAATTCTGTATCTGGAGATACTTTGATTTAGAGGAAAAAAACATCAATTTTTCAAAATCCTCCAACTGAATTTATGTTTCACCTGTTAGCCAGTGATCCACAGCCTGCATTAGCACCACTTTACTGGGCCTTCTCGCAGAAAAGTTGCTGCTTTCCTCTGTGTGTGAATTGTCTTTTTTGAGTTTGTTTAGGTTTTAGTTTTCTAAGTTTCTCTTTTTCATCAAAAATTCACATGGTGGCAGCTGGACCTCTTAGAGAAGTAACCAAAGGGGCATTTACTGAGGTGGTGTTGGCAGTGCTTGATACTCTCTAATCAAAGTGATCACACCATCCTTCTAATAAAAACTTGTGACTTATTAGAGCCAGGAATTCTGAGGTCCTACTTAACTGTACTAAACTCCTGGGCTACAGGTTTCTTACAGGTTTCAGGATGGCACAGGCTTGCTCCATGTTAGTTCAGAAATGCTGACTTACAGAACAATTAGTCTGAGTATTGATTTTGTTTCCTTTTTTTTTTGGTTCTATTAGTGCTGTAAGGTATCTGATTAATTCAGAAGCCTGGACTTGCAACTCTTTTTAGCAGTCTGAAGCTCTTCTTAGATCACAGGACTCTTAAGAGGGTCTGAAGCAGAAACAGATCTAATATTTTTGCTTTCTTAATAGAACAGCATAGAAAAAACCCACCCAACAGCACAAACATCTTTTTTCTCTCAGTGGAAGTTCTTTTATTTGAAAGAAATCTGCATTTACTCAAGGACAGGATGGTTTCAGAGTGCTGGAAAAGTTGGCAAAGGCTTGAAAGAGCATTCCAGTTCTTGGAGTTAAGTTTTCAAAGCCTTGGATTTAATCCCTTTCTGAATCTACGCTCTGGATGTGGCGTCACGCGGTCGTGTTTCTGCTTAGGAGACGAGGTGAGTGTGTGTGTGTGTGAGAGAGGTGGCAGGTCTGCTCAGAGGGAATTTGTTCCTGTAGTTCTTACAAGCACAGACACTTAAGTTTGGTCTGCAGTGAAGATGTTAGGCATCCAGATCAGTGTTAGCACTGATCCAGTGGGTGTGTGCCAAGTGAATAAAGCATTGGAATCGCTCTCAAGACAAGTAAACATATGGATTTTAAGGCTAGAAATTTCATTACGTTAATCTCTCCTGATGCTTCACGTAATGGAAGCCAGACAATTTCATGCATGGTCGCTGCATCAAAAAAACCATTGGTTTCGGTTGAAACAACCCATTTTTTGGGGAGGATTGTTTTGATTTGGCAGTTTTGGTTTTCAGATGTTGGGCAGCGGGAAATCTGCCACGTTCCTTGGCAAGTTGTTCTAAAGTTTTGTCTTTACGAGTGCATCCAGTTACTTTAGTCTGAATTAATTTTGTTTTAGTCCCCTGTGATGGATTTTGCTGTTCTGTTTAATGCTGGGCTGTGGCTGTTGTGCTGTCAGGATTCTTTCTGCGTGGGGATGGAGACCTTGTGGTCCGTCACGACATCAGCGCACAGCTCTGGTTTTTGGATCTGCCTCTCTGAGGTAGATTTTCCTGACCTTGCTTCATTCTCCCTGTCCTTTCAGATAGATTTTCAATTTTTCAGATTCCTCTAAGAAGCCTAAATATCATTAGACCCTCCCCCGATTCTGGTTCCAGTCACACTGAGGGTTCCAGGACTGCCGTGACCTGTGGTTGTAAATCATCACGGGATCCTTTTGTGCTCGTGGGTGTCCTAATGGTGACCATGCACTGTAAAACTTAATTAGGAGGTGTCTGTTTTAAAGTGTTGTCTGTGATGGCTGCACTGAAAATGCAGCTGATCCTGTGTCACCTGTGTCGGCACCACGAGATGGCACCATTACACAGCATAACTGTGTCATCATCTCTTGGGGGCTTGAGACCCTGCCCAGGATTTAAATGCATCACTCATTGGCTTGACTTCTTCAGATGGAGGATGAGGGTGTGGTAAAGCTTGTCTTGTGTTTGTCGTTCAGGCTCATTTATCTGTGGAGTTTTTATTTTTTAAAATATTTGTGAAGCCAAGGAGAAGTCAGAGTAGGACAAAATGCAGATTGTATCCAGACTGTGCCCCTCCGTTTTCTTCTTTCATCAGGGGTGGGACTTTCCATGTAGTATCTCATTGTTTTCCAGCAGATGATTCTATCTCTGTGTTCAACAGATAACTTGAGCATCTAATTTTTAATTTCTGTCCCTTCTCTGTCTAACACACACTTTGCATCAGAGAACTCCTGAGCACTTTCATGTAATAGCAACTGCCATGTAATATACTGGTAATACTCCCAGCATTAGAAAAGAAAGGATGATCTCTATTTGCCTTAAAGGTTAAATTTTCTTCCTTTGCTACTGTGTTTTACATGTGACCATTTCAAAGGAGAGAAGGGCAATTAAGTAAGCAGATGATTTAATCTAAATTTTATTTTTGCGTTTTTTGGAAACATGTATTGTTTAGTTAAACTGAGAAAACAAAACTTTAGTGCAAAGATAAAGTTGTAATTAAAGGCAGGTCTCCATCCTAATCAAAGTTTGCAATACAAACATTTCAAGGCAAGTTGTTCTCCGTTCTTTCACTTGCTATTGCAAAGCCCAATGCTAACTCTATTTTTGGGGTGTTTCCCAGTTCTCCAGGCCTGCAGTATAACTCCATGATTCCTGTGGCATGATACATCTCCCTGCTAAGTGGCAGGAGCTCTGTTCAACTCTGAGTTTATCACATCAGTAACTTGGGCCAACATCGTTCCCTGCCATCTCTATGATGACATTAATGTAATATGGGGTCAGTTTGGACGCTCCTCATGTCAAAGTAGAAAAGAATCAGGGGTGTTCAAATCCACATTTTAGTGTTCTTTCCTGTGGATGAAGAAGGGAGGGAACAGTCTGAAAATCAGTTACCTGAATTATTGTTAACATTTGCATATTAAGGATGTTGCAGAAAAAGAGGAAATTAACGTGTCCAAATAGAATTTCTGCTTAGTCAAATTTATTGCTCAACTGCATAAACAAAGAATGCATTCAGCTGTAGTTCATTGTTTGGTACTGACTTAGGCCTTCCTTTATGTATTTCATGTTACAGATGAGAATGCAATAAAATATAAGTGCATGGGAGACAAAATTAGAGGTTTGTAATTAGCCTGCTTTGCAATTTCTTTCTTCTTCCAGTCCAACTTGATGGTGAAGTCTCAGTTAATTCTCCTCTGTTTGCCCTAGACTTTATCCTTGATTTATTGAATTTTTCTATCTTGAAGGTTGTTGGGGTTTTTCTCCAGCGGTGTGTTTTTTAAGAAATCTTTTTGGTTTTAATTTAAACTGAAGGCTCCATTTTTGGAAGATCAATGAATTCCATCTGGAAGAATTCTTTTCTCCCAGCCACCTGACACTTAGATGAAGTTGAACTTTTTTTTTTTCCTTCTCAGGGAGGAGATCAGAGGTTGCATTCACCATGATGAGTACATTTGGGATGTCGGTATTCATTCACCAACACTGGATTTGTAAATTAATAGCTCAGCCTCTCTGGACTGTGGAATGTTAAAGGTCAGCGACCACGAGAGGAGAAACACTTCAGAGCTCTGTGTGCCCTCTGGCCAACACAGTGGCCTTGGCTTAATGGCATTAATTTCATGCTGCTTTTAAAGGATACAGATGTGCAGCATACCTTCAATCCTCCTACCTGGAACCACTAATCCCGTCCCAGCTTTCTGCAGGGAGCGGGGAGGGAGAAGAGTAAAACCCTTCCTAAAAGGATTAGTTCCACTGACTAATTTTCTGAGTTTCTCCTTGCTTGGCATGTCCCCTCTCCTCCAAGCCTTTGATAAGTATCTTAACTAAGATGCATTTTGGTAAATGCTGTCTTCAAGCAGCATGATATAGAAAAGCCTTCTGATTCCCCCGCCCTCTCCAGATCTTGGGGCTGGTTCAATCTTTTTTAAAGCTATTTCACTTGTGCTGCATGCAGAGCCCATCTGCTGTAATACAGACTGAAATGCCACTTTTATCCTTGTTTGCGTGGAAGGTTGGTGGGTAAATCAATTGGAGTGAAAGACACATTGTCCCTCTTTGCTCCATGTCACAAGCACAAATATCTTCCTTTTAAAGTGTCTCTTGGTAGAAGCCAAAGCCTTTGGCACAAGCCACCTCTGCTAGCTTGACCTCTTTTGTGCATCTGGGATGGAGGAGCAGCTCTGAGAAGCACAGAACAAAACCAGCAAAATAGCAAGAGAAAAGGTCAAGAAGGGGTCTTGCTCCCTGTAGACATCAGAAGTTTCTGCAAGATGATATTTAGCATGTCCTGCCTGAACAGTTAAGGCATCAAAGGCACGAGCACTTCGATAGGTAATATCCTCGTGAGTTGTCAAATAGATTGCAGAGCACGTTGCTCTGCCACGCTGGGGGTGGGAGGGAGGGACCTTCTGTCTTTCTACTCATTGAGGTAACTGAGGCTGGGAGCTTCAGAGAGCCTTTGCTTCCACAGATGGATATTCCATGCTGTGCTCTGTCCTTGCCTGGCTTTTGACTTACAGGCCTAAGCTCACAGAGTGGTGCTGTGGCCCTACAGGGGAAGGGGAAGGCAGGTTTCTACCAAAGACAGAGCTGACATCAGTTCCAAGTAATAGAAGTGCTTGATTTTTGTCTCTGTGTTTCTGCCTGGTTGCAGCCTTGCAGTGACTTACTCTCAGACCAGGCAGTCTCTTTGATGCAGCATCATTACAGTGCCAGAGATGATTCCCTGTACCTTCCCTTTCCAGCAATGGGATGTGAAGGGGAGGTAAGACATGCTTGGGTAATTCACCTCTCAACATAGCAGGGTCAGGACAAGCAATATTGCCTGTCCTAGCCAAGGGTATTAGTAATCCAGGAGGCAGACAGTATCCTGCTGCTCAGGACCTGGAAATGCAGGGAAATACAACCCTGGCAGCTTTGACGCTGGATTATTCTCTATTTGTGGCAATGGATTGGTGTAACTCTGATCAGAAAGAATCATCTCTGCCAAATCCTGTGGTTGAACCTCTGCCCAGGACAATAAGCTCATATGGTGAAGGCATGGGCTGTGTTCTTCACTGTTGTTATAGATTTTTCACAGTCCCCTGGTTTCATCTGCAATTTTTGGTGCACAGGCGCAGTTCTGCCTCTCCCCTCCTGTGCAGGGGTAGCTCGGAGCCTCAGAGCACTCTGCTCTCCCTCACAAAACCCTGCCAGTGTCTGCCATCGATCCAGAACGAGTTTCCTGGGGTTCACTTGTCCTAACTTAAAAATAAACATGGACTGACAGGTTTTAGATATAATGCCTGAGTAAAAGAAAGAAAACAAGCAAGCACAGAAGAGAACTCAGTTGATAGAGAAGCACAATACAGTGCCAATTTGGCTACAATCTTTCCTCCTCCATGGTGAAACTGTGTTGCTGCTTTCTGATGCTGACCTTGCTCGTTCAACAACCATATTGGGGCTCATCAGTCCTGACTTCTTGATCTCAGCCTCAGGGTAGTCTGAGCCCCACTGTGTCCTGACAGTGGATATTCCTGGGAGTCAGTATCCCACACCATGCACTGAGGGAGCAGCTTGAACCCAGAGGTGCTCAGGCTGTAGTTAGTGAGCAACTAATAGCACCACTTGTTGAGAAATACCAGCTGAATCTGTGGCTTCTGGTGCTGAGGGGCGAACTCATTGGTAGGAAGAAATAGCCAGGTTGTATTTTGGGCTTTATTGAATTTCTTTAAAGCTTTCCAAGTCATTTGCAAAGGCATGGCTGAGAGCTTTAGCAAGATGGTAGGTTAAGGAAGAGAATGAGACTGTTGGCTTAGAGAAAGGCGGGTGAGGAATTAAAGCTTCTTTGTGGAAGTAAGTCTCTTTCTTCATCAAACTGTAGTTTTGACCTTCCTAATTAATGTTGTTGTTTTTCTTCTTACTGCAGTGCAAGCTGTCCCAGCCTGACCTGCTGGTTCACAAGATGAAAGGGGTTAACTCATCAGAATGGAGATCCCCTCTACTGGCTTATCCAAATCTTTACTAAAAGTGTGATATATCCATGAACACAAATAGAACAACACATCTAAGAATTATGTATCTGGGAGTTTGAAGGAGGGGAGTGAAAAAAGGAAGAAAGTCTGTGTTGCTTTGAGGTTATTTTAAAAACTGAAACTGAATAGGTCAATACCCCTTAAGCTTTTTGGTCTTTAATTCTCTTAATGGTATGGCAGAAATCGTTAATTGTATTATTAAAAAAGCTTTGAAGACTGTATTAATGTAATGTGACCTCGGATCAGTCAAGATCACATTTTCATTATGATTAAAAGATTCCTTGTCCTGAAACATTGATCTCATCTCCAGCTGGCTGTGTCAGCCAGAGAGGGGCTGGCTGCACGGCAGGGCAGTAGATGGCAATATTGCCTTTCATTCTGCAGCTGCTGGGGGAGAAATGCTCACCTCAGAAAGGGGCCGTGAACTTTTCCCCTCAGCTTCCAAGAGCAGGTTTGCACTTACAGGCTGTATTAAATATTCCAGAAGCCAAATAATTCGAAGTCCCATTTTGAATCCGAATTTCTTCAGTTACTCGTGTCAAGTGCTTGAATTGATCAGGCCAAACAGGCCTGATGCTGCGTGTCAGCTCCGAGAATGAGCATTTATTTACATGTTGGGGACCAGCAGCATTGTCTTGTAGCAGGGATTCAGTGAGGCAGTATATGACCCCTGGAAGTGACATCTCCAGCTTGGCTGTTGTGATTTGTTTAGGTTTTTGTTGAGTTTTTCTCCTTTCTGGTGGATTTTCCACCTTTTCAGTAAATTTTTTGCCTTTGCATCAAGGGAGTGAAAGCTGTATCAACTCCTTTAGTTCATGTCATGATTGGGGAGAGTCAAAAGGTACGTAGCCAACATGTTGTGTTCCTTTGCACTGTAATATCTGGACAGACCTCTCAGAAGATGGGAAGAGATGCTTAGCAAAGAGCCAGGATTGAGGAAGGTGTGTGTTACAGGGTCTCACACACACTGGCTGTGCTGTGCTCTCGTGTACTGTGCTGCTGAGTAGGCGGACAAGGATTTCAGAAGGCAAGTGACATCTGGGGTCAGGGATTCATGGAAATGAAATCTGCTGTGGCAGCTCGAGGATATGGTGTGTGTAAAGTGCTACTCCTTCCGTGTCCTGTGGGCATATGCCAAGTGTCTCTGCAGTTTTGTGAGGTACCAAGGTAATTGCCTTAAAACCCCTCGCCACACAGGGTGTTGCAGGATGGTAGCACACTCTCTGAGTGATGGGAAGCAGAGGGGTGTGCTGACTGGTGTTAAAGCTTCAGTGCTGCTGACTTTTCTATAAATAACTGCTGTCTGCTGTAATTGGTTGTATCCCAGTCCATGGTGATCTTTTATATTATTGCTGTCTGCTGGAAAACTCCCGGAGGCATAAAATAGATAGCGGGAAGTTCCTGCACCCAGCCCTGTGTTCCCCCATGCAGCACAACAGGCTAGAGCAGAAACAGAGCTGATGGAGAATTTTCTGCAGCAGGAAGGATGGAAAAAAAAGGAAGAGATTGCACCTCTAAAATGATAGCAGCAGGCCATCTCTCCTGCAGGATATTGCTGGGTGTGTTGGAAAGAGAAAATCTTCCTCGGGTTTCTAGTGCGGAACTGAATGGGTGTTATTATTTGTCTCTGACTTACTTACGGGTATTTTTCAGCTCTCCATAAAATAACAGTGTCTTGCAAGAGATTGAAAACTGGAGAAAAATGTCAGTAGTTGACTTGTATAAGGTGTTTTGTGTTTAAAATGTGTAGTGTTTTCTTATCCTGAAGGATTCAGAACCCTTCACAGATCAGGAATGCTGAATGCTCTGTGACAACCCCCTTAAATACAGCCATCTGTATTTGATATGAAGCAGAACACTGAGGTGAAGCTACTCAGCACCTGGAATTGATGTTTTTATTGAGGGAGGGCAGAAAAGCACTGGACTTAGATGTTCAGGAAAGGATTTGAGTGGAAAGGGTTGAATTGCCAAGCTTCGCTCAGCAGCGAGCATTTGAAACAGCGAGTGGCTCTGAGGCCAGCAGGTGAGTGTGGGTTGTGTCCCCCACACTGATTTCATTTCTGCCTCTGTCTTAAGCTGCATTTGCCCCTCTCCACAGTGTGGTACGCTGCATGCATCACAGAATCCATGCTTCACTGGCCTCATAAAAACTTTGCTCATGTCGACAAAGGATTTATTAAAACTGAAATCTTTCCAGCATTACACAGAAGCTGGCACAGAGAACAGCTCTGTGGAGGGACTTGTCAACAGTCTCTCAATTGACTTTTGCTGACTGATATTTCAAGATTAGATGCTATTGTAGGGCATTTAATATAAGAAATTGCTGGGAGGTCTTAGCTTCTGTCCTGGTTATTTGCTACTGGTGGGAACTCTTTGGTTGCAGCAGTTTAGTTCTTTGTGATGTGGAAGAAGCATTGAAAGTCCACATAGCTTTGAGTCAGAAATGTATTTTCCTTCAAGATATGCCAAGAAAGTGTCAGTGTGACAGAAGCAGGGTGAAAAGTCTACAGGGAAGAGAACAGCAGGATACTTTCTGTGGCCTCAGACACCCCTTCCTGGGGCCTGGCTTGGAAGCAAGCTGTGTTGGGTGGTGTAAGAAGGCAGACACTGAACCAAAGCCATTGCTCACTGATGGAAAGGTCTCAGCTATTCTGGCCTGGATCTGCTCATCCAGGAAAAAATGTCCTTGCTGGGATTGGGCAGGGTGCCCAGTTGTAGTAGGACATTATCTGCTCTGGAGACTGAAATCTCCAAAGCAATGAGGAATCTGGCTCTGGTGCAGCACAGCACTCCAGTGACGTCAGACTAGGCTGGGTCTTACTCTTGCTGGTCTTCAGCCTTGGTG